TTCAAGTCAGTAGTCACAAAAAGCGGTCTCGTTATTCAAGCCGATTCCCTTTGGACATTCTAAATCAACAAAATATGCATGCAACTTTCTTCCTTGTGTTCATATATTTGTCAAAAAACAAAAATCCCTTAGGTTTAAAGAGTTCTGCCTCAGATTACTTAAGCGTATCAAAACCCTAATGCTAAATGAAATTTATTTAGCACTGGAGTTTTGTTTTGTTTTTTAATCTGTTTTGTTAAACCTTGGTTTTCTTGAGTGGAAAACACACTCGAAGGGGCAGTTGGATGCTTGTCCGAACAATGCCTTTGCAAGAGCAAAGCTGGTGAATTGTTGGTCTCTAGTCCAGGATTCTCCAAACTTGGCAACTTCAACTTGGACTTCAACTCCCAGAATTCCTCAGCCAGCTACGATCCCTTTTCCCACAGGGCATTTGTTGAACTTCATACATCATCTAACTTTGATAGAAACCTAGAAGCCACCCTTGCTGTTAGTGAAGGATGATTTTAGAAGATGCTTTAAGTTTGTTAGGGGCGGGATTATGAGTTTAGGAAAAAATAAGAAAGGCAATTCTACTCTTTAACAAAGGTGAGAATTTATTATTATATTTTTATTCTACCTTTGTAAGTAACTCGAAGCGGTGAATATACCCAATACTCCTTCTTCCTCCTATTTTCCACATGACAACAGTGAGGTGGGTTGCAGTGAGGTTATCCTTGTCCATCAGTTTGCTTCAGTCACTTTATTTCATCTCAACAAGTTTAGTCTAGTGATTAAAGCACCTGGCTAGAAACCAGGAGAAAGGGAATTCTAGTCCCACCTTAGCCATGAAAGCCAGCTGGGTGACTTCGGGCCAGTCCCTCTCACAGCTCATCCCACCTCACAAGGGTTGTTGTTGTTGGGAAAATAGGAGTAAGAAGGCGTAGTAATAGGAGTAAGAAGGCACATTTGCTGCCCTTGAGTTATTGCTAAAAAGTAACAAAGGCAGGATAAAAATGAAAGGAATAAATAAATCTGTCCCAAACAGCACAGACATTTACAAGGCCTTGGTGGGATTTGGTTCCTCCAAACTCTGGAAGGTCCCACAACTCGCTACTCTGGCTGTAACAAATACTGGGGGGTACTGCTGTGGTCATAAGTGTGAGGACTGGTTTTAAATAACTTTTTTGGTGCCATTGTAACTTTGAGCAGTCACTAAACGAGTGATTGTTAAATTGAGGGCTACCTGTAGCTTTAGAAGAATCCTTTTGGAAGCCATGGTTTTCAGTTACTCCTTTTAGTAACGCAGGAGTGGAAATCAGTCAAATAAGCTCACCATAAACGGATAATGATGGCCCTGTTGGGCAAAAATGAAATATAAACCATTTATTAACTTTCTCTAAGTGGCAGCCCCTGGCTAAACTTGCCAATCTTCAAAAGCTAACCCTGGTAAGAGCTGGTTAAAAGACTGCTAGGAAATACTAGGTTAGGTTGGAAAGTGTTAAAAAATGTGATATTTTGAAGAGATTTGTAACTAAAATTGAGTCAGAGACGAGAAGAGTTGACGGACAGTTGAACTAATAATCCATGTTTTAACACAAGATAGGCGGCGAATAAATTTAATAGGTAGGTAGGTAGATAGATAGATAGATAGAGTAGAATAGAATAGAATAGAATAGAATAGAATAGAATAGAATAGAATAGAATAGAATAGAATAGAATAGAATTCTTTATTGGCCAAGTATGGTTGAACACATAAGGAATTTGTTTTCAGTGGAAATGCTCTCAGTGTCCATAAAAGAAAAGATACATTCATCGAGTCAAGGATCATCAGGTGCAACAATTAATAATAGACATAAGATACAATAAGCAATCAAATCATACAGGAAACAGTCAATATAAACCATAAGGATACAAGCGACAAAGTTACAGTCATGCAGTCACACGTGGGAGGGGATGGGTGATAAGGAGTGATGAGAAGATTAATAGTAATAGTAGTGCAGACTTTGTAAATAGTTGGACAGTGTTGATGGAAGTATTTGTTTAGCAGAGTGATGGCGTTGGGGAAAAACTGTCCTTGTGTCTAGTTGTTCTGGTGTGCGGGGCTCCATAGTGTCATTTTGATGATAGGAGTTGAAACAGTTTATGTCTGGGATGTGAGGGGTCTGTAGATATTTTCACAGCCCTCTTTTTGAGTCGTGCAAGATACAGGTCCTCGATGGAAGGCAGGTTGGTAGCCATTTCTGCAGTCCTAATTCCTCTCTGGAGTCCGTGTCTGTCCTGTTGGGTTGCAGAGCCAAACCAGACAGTGATAGAGGTACAGATGGCAGACTCCATCATTCCTCTGTAGAACTGCCGTTCTCTTATGATGTCGAACCTGACGACATTATACCTGAAATACATTAAAAAACACACACAACCCATGTTCTTAGCCCTTGGCCACTAAATTTTTCGCTCTTTCCTCTAAAACGGGCATCAGCCAGATATGTGGTGGGTTGACATTCACGCCCCATAATTTAATCTCTTTGCAAACTCTGGCATAATTTAATCTCTTGGAAAGGATAAGATTCTCATCCCATCCACCCCCCCCCCAGGCAGGGCAGCTTTTAAAGCTCTGGAGTTGAAATAACAAGCAGAAGAATTGTGCGTTCAGATGGCTGAACATTTGTGGCAACGAACACCGAAAAAGCAGCCTTGGGGCGGGTGGAAAAAAATCGCTGCTTCCTCTTTTTCCCTTTCTGGATTCTTCAAGACATGAAACGGGAAAAAAACTGTTGAAAGAACTGGGTGACCCTTTGCAGTCACTGTGGCAAGGAACACAAAACAATCTGTTTCTATTGTGAAGTGGAAAAATATGTAGTCGGGTCAGTTTCTGCAGGGAAAAGGGGAAGTGACAGCAGAGTTGTTTCCTTGTGTGTTTTCTTCCAACACGGAACTGTGTCATAGCTACGCAGCTAAAAAACAAAAACAAAACATGCCCAAAAGCCACTTGTGGCAAGAAGCGCTGTGTGTTTTGCTGCTTAGAATTTCGTGTCTTTACAATTCCATGTTGAAATTCGTCACCGTCCAAAAATAGAGATTTATTTATTTTTTCCCCCCGCTGTCTGGGGAACCTTAATTCTTAAAGGTTAATGTTTTGAAATGATCCTGGCATTCAACCAAGTGGAACCCAAGGAAACAGTTTCGAAGTGTAGCACTGCATTTATCAACCATCGATATTTGAAATGCACTTTTTCTTAGGGTTTTTGCTTATTTGTTTTAAAAAGAAAAGCCGGCCTGAGCTGAGGAAACACCTGATGACCAGATGAGACGGACATTGTCATTTTGAAAGGGAGTGGGGGAAAAAAAATAAATGTTTTTGGAGCAAGGGCAGAGAAATGAGACTCACAACTGCATAATTCACCCCAGAATTTCCGTTGCTAAGCGAGACAGGTGCGGAAGTGAGTTTTGTCACAATTTTACGACCTCCCTTGCCGCGGTTGCTAAGTGAATCAAGGCAGCTGTTAAGTTAGTCACACGGTCATTAAGTGAATCAGGCTTCCCCGTTGGCTTGTTGGAAGGTCACATAACCGTCGTAAATAGGAGTCAGTTGCATTTGAATTTGGATCATAGGACGATGGGGTGTGTGTGTGTGCTGCAGCGGTCATAAGTGTGAAAAACAGCCCTGGGGGAAAAAAAAAAGGACTTATGACCATTTGCACACTTATTATTTTTGCAGCATCATCTCTTCTTACCCCCCCCAGCAGAATTTGGTTGCTTGGCAACTGGCATGTCATTGATGGGATCCTGCTTGGGGAACTCGCTTAGCGGCCGTGGCAGGGACGGTTGCAAACTGGGACCAAACCTCCTCGCTTAGCCAGGGGGAGGAAATTTTAGGCGCCATGGTGGTCGCAAGTC